GAACATCAATTAATGCTCAGCAGTCTTGATTATTGGCCCTTTGGTGTTTTCCAGCTCTGTCTCATGGTAAGCTGGTTGTAACACACAGGGAATGATAAGTTTTATTCCCAGTGCAGCACAGTTACCAGTGTTTCAGGATGCTTTAAGCTGATTGTTTTCCCCTGGAGACAAAGACTCTGGCTACCTGTAATATGAAGTGTCTTTCTTGGAACTGACAGGTGGAACAGCGGCATTATTTGGTTTCCAAAGCAGTGGAGGAGGTGCAGAAAATCATCCAGCAACTGACCGCAGAAATCAGCTATAAGGCCACGCGATTCCAGGCTATCTCCAACGCTGGTATTCACAATGAGAATATTAAGGTATGAACAAGAGCTCTAATACCCTCTCTGGCAGCTTGTAGGCAATCAGGAAGTGATTTCTCCATTGTGTAAGTGTTTGTATGGACAGGTACCTCAGCCAAAATGCCACAGACAACATGTTGACACTTCACTGTGGAAGTTCTAGTGACTGACTTGGTCATAGGGACTTACTTATGGACATCTTATAACTAGAGGAGCATTGAAGAGGGTTGGGTAGATCAGGTAGAGCCTCTTTTTACAACTGCTGCTTTTACAAGGAGCATCTATTGCCAGAGCTGTCAATCTGCAAGCAGAAGTCAAAGCTCTCTGGGAGACAGAAAGAAAAACTTGTACAGCAGTAACATAAGAAAAAAATGCTTATGCCTTTCATGAGCTATGACTCATATTTTTCACAGGTGGAAAATCTGTCAACTCACTAAAAAAAGAAAAAAAAAATCCTTCTTCCATTATGAACATTAGAAAGCTTCTTCAGAAAAATAAGGGTTTTTTCTTGGTCATGGATTGGAACTTCTATTTTTACTGGGAAGAAATATGCATATTAGTGGGAGAAGTTGAATGTCTCCTCATTTTAGACCATTCAATACCAAAATAATAATGTCCTGTCCCAGCTGTGACAGGAGAAGAATGGTTATTTCCTGTGGCTACTGAACACAAGAATAACTAGTGTAAGAAACAATCACAGCAATGGCAACTTCAGATGAAAATTATCTTTTTCATCTGAAGTAGTTTACATATTCTCACTATTTCAACCCTTACACTAAAATGCAGCCAGTTACGGATCAAAACACAACAAACATGTAAAAGCACGAGGCAACTTTTGCAGCTGTCTAGGATTGAAGGAGAGAACTCTGTGTGTATCATGCTGCTGAAAGGATGTGGAGGCAGGATATAATAATCCAGTCTGAAATGTGGCTATTGCTCTGGGGACAATAGCATTCAGATTTATATCTTTTCTGGAATTTCACATATCCCAGGGTATGTGGTCTTGCCAGTAGGAATGACCACAGTGACATAAAACTTTGCCACATCCTGGTCCATGTGTTCCTTAGTGCCATAGTCTGCCGTCCACCTCTCGTGCTGGAACAAACCTGCTTGGCTAATGAAGTCTGAAAAGACCAGGGTCAGGGTACAATTACTGTTCTGCAGAACAAAACCAAGGCAATCTATTCTGAGCAGTCATTTGGGAGTACAGCAGGCTGATCTGAACAACCTCTGCTTAAAAGGAATACCCAAAATGTTTTTTCTTAAAAAGTACCAACTTGTTATTCATACTTAACTGCACCCACTGCTATAGATCTGTGATAGTCACACTAGGAGGGCCTGGGTAAGTGTTCTGTAGCTGTGGGGCAGCAAAGAATGGGTTAATGACTTTTTAAAATTTTTTTTGCTTGGGCTGTTCTGCTTCCAAAAAATAGAATATTTAATATCAATGCTGACATAACTCAACATAGAGGAGTCTTGTGTCAAGGAAAAGCCAATGTATTAACTATTCTGTGTTTAATTTTGCAACATCTTTTTCCCTGTCAATTAAATTTACAGGAACTTTCCAGAACTTTCAATTTCTGATTAAAAGGACTTACTTTAACATGCTGAGGGATGTAGGTTTGTTGAAAATCTACAAGCCTCCTTCTAAATATGCAGGGCTGTGTGGGGAATATAGAAGAAAAGTCTTTAGATATTAAATGTTTCTCAGTAACCCAGGGGAGAAAAAGTCAAAATGTTTAATAAAAAACTTGAAATTAAATTCAGGCAAAATGGAATATTTTATTTTTACAGCTTTTAAGTGTTTGTTTTTAGTTGTGGCTCACTTTTTTTGCAACTGTGCAGGGTTGATGTGAAGGCTGTGGAGGCTTCAGTGAGGCGCAATGAGCAGGTTGGCCTGGGGAGTGATTACCAGTGCAGCACTGCCCAACAGCATTGCTGAGTGTGAAGCGCTGTAATCATGGCAGGAGTGTGATGGTGTGATATGATGATGATGGTGAAGCTTATTCCTTTAACAAATAGGCTCGATGAAAGCTTGCAGCTTTGCTCTGTGAATGAATCACTTGGCACATGCTTTCTCTCTGCTCTGTGTACTTCTTGTTTTCCTTTCTGCTTCTCTCAGGATCAGCCAGCTTTACTGGCCAAGTGGTCAGCTATGCTTCGGGGGAAGCGCCCATTCCACCCATCCATCCAGGTACAAAGCCTTCCTGCCACCTGGTGCCTGCTGCTCCATGTGCCTGCTTCTTCCTTGCCCACCCTCTTCTCCAAACAACTTCACCCATCTAACCGAGCCTCCCATGACTATTTCATCCTCTCTGCAAGAGACGTGCTTTTTTGCTCAAAGCATAAATATATTTTTAACCTAATGCTTCTGCCTCCCTGGAATATCCTGACCAGGATCGCAACAATGAGGCTGTATTTAATTTTCTCAGCACACTGCAAGTAGATTTTTAATACAGCAGAATTGCCCATAAGTTACACATCCCAGAATCAGAGGCTCTTGTTCAATAGCTTGGGACTTGCCAGGGCCCGTGGTCTGCATACAGCGTGTAAGACCATTGTGTGAGAGAGCACAGATGTGGGACTGGGATTTGTTTAGGCCAAGAAGACACCAGTTGCCTGGCTTTACAGTGCCACCCCCAGCCTTGTGATTTCTGGAGGAGCCTTGTGATGTATTTGAATGCATTTGCATAACACCTGCAGCTCTTCCCTTTAAAATCTGTTGGGTGCCAGCACGTACAAGTCAGCATCTTGGTATGGGAAGGAATAGTTGTTCATCTGCAAACGTGGCCGAGGCAGCAAGATGAACAGTAACTGCCTGACAGCCATTGTATTTTTCTTTGTGGAGCTTCACGCTTCGTTCCTGAGCTGCTCACGGGGTTTCTCAGCCCCAGCAAACCTGAGTTGTGCAGGTCAGCTTGGTCTGCAACGTCATCCTTCCAGTGTCCTCCTGCCTTCAGGTGGTTTATATTTGATGAAAGAAGGGCTTCCTGGTGTTTCCTTTGCCATTTCTGTGCTTGCCAGCCATATTTTGTATTTCAAATCTCTTGCCAGGAAGCAGAGTAGAGCAGCAGCTCCCTGTGGGAGAAGGAGCCAGAAGGTGAGCATGGCAACACAGCAGGGACTGCCCCAATATCCCCAAGCGAGACAGACCTAGAGAAGGCAGCTAGAGCCAGTCGAGAGTCTGGATCATCAGGCAAGGCTGTACTGATAAGGCAGGTCTGAGATCAAGCCAGGAGCACTCACCCAGGGTCAGGATCAAGTCCAAGGATGGCAACCAGGGTCAAATGCAGTTTATGGATTGCCAGGCAAGTCCATAGTGGCCAGGTAGGTCTGAGACCAGGCTGGGAAGGCAGTCTGTGGGTAGGAACACAAGGTCTCTGGCCAGGTGCAGGCAAAGCTGTCACACAGTTGGAGACCAGCACTCCTATGACGTAGCTTGGGGCTGAGCTGAAATGAGAGTCCCAGACCCATAGGCAGAAGGTGTGGGTAGAAGTCCTGTGAAAGCCTGTTAGTGCCCTCAGGGCCCTGGCACCTCTGTAGTAGTATTTTAAACCAGCTGAGCTACCAGGAAGGCTACCAGAATGTTTGGAATTACTACAGGAGAGTGATGAGTGCATTTCATTCACCACCTTGCAGCAACAGCTTTCACTTAATATCCTGCTCCTGCAGCAGCTTCACCTTATTAAGGCAGTGTAAGTTAGGCTTGGTAGCAAGTGGAGTTGAAAAGCTTCTGAGTCAATGTAGTGAAATTCTGAAGGAGTTCGAACACCCTCTCTGGAGCCACAATGGCCAAATGCTTCCAAACCAGTGTTTGGAGATGTCTGGCTATGCCCTGGGCCAGTATAAGGTTTCATGGTATTTGTGTCACCTTATTCACTCTTTTCAAAGACTGGTTCGACACTGGTTTTATTGAAAAATGGTCATTCCCCAAATGAGGCCAAATAATTTGCTTGCAAACAAGCCTGTGGGTTTGTTGTCTGTTGGTTAGTGTTTCCACCCTTATGCTGTTTCTGGCTTCCACTCAGCAGGAGATGCAGGTTCATACAGTACAGCTGGCAAAGACCTGGGTTTATTTTTGAGTGGCACTGCCTGTTGTAGGCTCAGGCACATCACTTGCCTTGTGTCTCTGTCTCTTAAAGGACAGTCATGCAGAGTGAAACACTTGTAAAATGAATGGGCCATAGTCTTATTTTACTAACGTCTGTAGTGGACTTCTTTGAAAAAGATTGGAAAAGTGCACTTTTTGCCATAGTTATTACTACTATTGAACTCTAGGCTTATCTCTAGTAACAATTCTGAGGTAATAACTTGCACTGTGTTGTTTGCTGGATCTCAAAACATGGTCTCTGATGTTTTGCTCCTCCTTGGAAGCTGCTAGTTATTACATCTCGTGTAATTGCAGACTAGAAATAACAAGGAATGGGGGAAACCATGGCAGGTGTGGTGGCAAATCAGTGCACTCTTGTCTTCTATGGGCCATAGCTGTCACATCACACTCCTCCTAAGACAATTTCCATTTATTCTGTGTAACTCCAGAGTAACCCTCAGACAGGCATGGAACAGGTCCTGGCTGTAACCAATTGCTCCCATCATACCGTGGCTTTTCCTTTTCTCCAAAGACCCCAGTTTTACCTATTACTTCCTTAACCCTCTTTTCCTTACTCCAGGCTCATGGATCTGCCCTTGTCTCTTCTCTCAATCTCTCTGCACTCTCCTAGGTCTTAGCACCCAGTCAATTCCTCATCACAGTCCCTCTGCGTGGCCTGACTGGGTACAGGGAGTGCCAGGTACGGCACTGGCGTTATTACACTGTGCATGGAGCCAAGCTCCTCTCCTCCGTGCGGGACCCCGAGGAACTGCATCAATGGCTAGAGGTGGAGCAATTCTCAAAAAGCCTTCAGCAGTGGCATGAAAAGGATGTCAACATCGAAGGTGATCTGGTTCCAGCCAAAGTCCTTATCGTCTTCCGGGAGCTGGTGGAGAAGTCAATTATCTCCTGTAACCTCTCCAGTGAGTTTAGTGGGGACAGGTATAAGGGGAACTGGCTGTCTTCTCCAGCTAATAGAGGGGAAACCATCACACATACAAAGGGTTTGGTTGGTTGACATGATCAGAAGTTAAAAAACAATAAGTCCCTCCAAAATCAGGGAGCCTTTAGCCCATATTGGTGATAGATTTAGACCTGAATTGAGGATAGAATTAAGTAGTTCTTGGCCTCTCCATACCCAAGATGTTGCCCCTTTCTTAGGAATTTGTGAAGAGTCTCCAGCAACATCACCCTCACAGTCCAGCTGAGACACAGCACAGATTTTCAGAACTTTTAGGAATTTGTTTAGGAAAAATATTTTTTTTCTTACTATAGAGGCTGCAACATAGCTCGGCGAGCAAGGAAGGTACTATAGGAAAACTGGATACACGGAAGGTGGATTTAGATGTAGGTTTAGATGAGATATTAGGAAGAAGTTCTTCCCTGTGTGGGTGGTCAGACACTGGCACAGGTTGCCCAGAGAAGCTGTGGCTGCCCCCTCCCTGGAAGTGTTCAAGGCCAGTTTGGATGAGGCTTTGAGCAGCCTGGTCTAGTGGAAGGTGTCCCTGCTGATGGCAGTGGAGTTGGAACTAGATGGTCTTTGGGGTGCCTTCCAACCTATACCATTCTGTGATTCTGTAAGTCAGAGGAGAGAGTATTTGAAGATGTTCATAGGACAGATAATGCTCTGGGGAAACCTTAGCTGCCCATAGCTTTCGAGAATGGGGTGGTGGGAACTCAGTAGAAAGAATTCTACTTAAGCAAAGTCTGTTGGGCAAGTGCTTTTTTTTCCCCAGTGCTCAGGCTACTCCAGTCCTGTTCAGCAGATGTAATGGAATTTTGCTTTCATAGTGGCGCTGATCTCTCTGTGAGCAATCCAAAGTGCCTGTTTATTTCCTGTGGCTATTTATACTGGAAGTGCTAATCACTGACATAATGCAATCAGTGGTGCATGCAACATGCCTTCATAGCTGCAACATCTGTAGCAAGATGCTGCCTAAACAGTGATCCTCGTGCTTAATTCTTAACATCCTGGAAGCATAGACTTCAGCTAATGAACACTTGGCTTGGTGCAAGCTAAATAGTCTATGTCCATCTTTTCACATTAAGATACTGTGACATAATCAAATCCAGACTGTGGTGCCTCTTCACATAGCATGTTTTCCAGGATGCCTTTACTCATCAGCAGCCTGATGTCTCCTGTGTTCCAGAGAAATAGGAGCTATTTCCACTCATCTGATTGCACTCTGGATTTTAGTCACAGGATAAAACATGTGAAATTGGAAAGTCCTTGATTTCCCAGCAACAACTAAAAACATCACTATATTATCAACATTTTTCTCATAACAAGTCCCAGGCTGAAACCAAAACACATCACTATTCTAGCTACTAAGAAGAAAATTAGCTCTACCCCAGCCAAAACTAACTGGCTCAGATGGCAAAGTTGAAGGGACAGTGATCCTGCTAGAGTGACAGGGAAAGCTGGGGACAGAAACTTCTTCCATGATCCCAGTTGGACCAACAGGAAACATCTCACTAAGTCCATTAGTTGCAGCTTTCATTCCTTTCTGCTTCTTTAGAGCACATTGTTCCTGGAGATGAGCTGTTCTTCTTTCCTCCATATCACCATGGAACTAACTTTTCTTGACACTCAGCAATCCCAGTGAGACAAGCAGTTAGCCCTTTTTCTATGACTGCTCTGCTCATCAGGCCATAAATTTTGTAACTGTCTTCTCTTCAAGTGCATCCCCAGAAACAAAACTTGTGTATAACCCACAAAACATTCTGAATTATGGGCAAGGGTAAGTCATTTGGTCTGATCAAGGGTTCTCTGAAGGAATAAAGAGATTTTTAGATATGAAACATTCATCTGGTCCCTTCTAATCTGCAGTGATCTCCTTGTTGCACTGTATTGTTAGAAATGTTAAGTTGCAGCAGTTGTCTGTCCGTATTTCCACAAAGGAAAACAAAAGTGTGGTAATTGAGTGTAAAATTGAGAACTTACTTGTTCCCTCATCTTCTTACTGTCCTCATTCCCCAGGGTAGATTAAGATGATAAGTTTTTTCTTGTATTCTCCTTATGGCATGGAAGAGAAAGTGTTAAGACAGACCAATAGAACTGCAAGGTCCTAGACTGTCCCTTGCTTGGCTTGTGGAAAAGGACCTTTTCCTCTTTATTATCTTCTCTTGTTGTTCCTTCACAGGTAAAGTGACAGTGCTGGAGAGCTTCAGCTCAGTAGTCCGGGTGGCTGTGGAGACATCAGAGTCCCAGGTCGAGGTGGAGCTGGTCCCTGCTGTGGAGATTCCAACTTGCTGGCCTAAGAAAGCTCAGTGGCCTCGTTGTCTTAAGCGTTGGCCTTCCCAGGAGAAAGTGCAGTGCATTAAGGTGAAGAGTGTAAACAGCACTGCTAACTCTGTGTTGGAATCTACTTTGCAGGTGTCTGACAATGGCTTCCCAATTGAAGGACTGCATGGTGATGACAGGCAACAGCGTGGTTGGAAGGTGTATTCTCTGTATTCTCTAGAGAAGTGGTATTTCAAAGTATTCTGTCAGATTTTATTGGGATTTTTTCCCTCCTTACAGTGATGAATTCTGTGGATGAAAAACTGAGTTAACTGTTCATTGCATGAGTCTCTTGCACATGGCTCTGCCTATGTAGCTCTGCCTGACACGCGTCATTCTTGCTTTTCTGGTCTGCCTCGTGTAAGCCATTATCTCACAGTTTTCCTCCAGCCTAACCCCATCTTCCCCTACAGAATTCATGGCTAGATTCTGGCACTCTGGCTCAGCCCCAGCTGCCATGTTCCTACGGGTCCAGTTGCTCCTTCCAGTCCTTCTCCCCTCTCATGCATGACCTGCTGCTCCACGGCAAAGTGCCCACAGAGCTGTGCCTCTGCTTTAGTGGTACTGGTACCACTGCCGGTACTGCACCTGGTGGCTCTGGAGCTAGAACTCCTGGGAGAAACTGATGTCAGCATATGAGGAAACAAAACAAATTGCACAGTCATTTGACTAGGAATTAGGGTGGAAGCGTGAACCCGTTTGCTGCCTTGGCTAACCCTGTTTAGAATGCAGTGCCCCACTTGGAGAGATGGCACACATCCTTTTTGTAACATCCCTCTGCATTGCTCAGAGATGTTTGCCTCTGATCTGGTGTCACACTTCCCTTTTTGTCCTTAGTCTCTTGGTTTCGACCTTTTGGCCCGCTCCAATTATCACTGGCAGCTGTGCTTCTCCCGTGCTGAGCGTATGCTCATGGAAGGCCTCGATGAAGATGGTGGTTGTCGCATGAAGTGCTTCAGAATCATGAGGCAGATGAAGGAAGATGTTTGGTGTGCTGGAAATAAGCCTGTCATCACCGCTTATCACCTTCAGGTAGGCATCACCATGATATCAAGATACGGTCTCAGTGTCTGTTGCAGGGGCTTCCATCCAGTAATGTCAAAGTATCACAGCATAAATCGCTGCAGCATCTCCTATGTCACTTCTAAGGTAAGTGGCAAAACTGCAGTATCATTTCATTGCTTTACAGTAGCAAGAAGTTTAGTAAATGTATGTTCCAAACTTCAACAAAAACTAAAGTCTGTAGGAACGTTATATTTGCAGCAACATAAATAATAATAGAGTTGAGGCCCCTGCTCTGTTTTGACTTCATGTAGGCATTGTAATATTGTCTTTAATTGCACAGTTACCTCCTGCTTCTTGACTGTCCCAGCCATCCATATCCATCTATCTGTCTGGGGAAACTTGTATGTTTGTCTTTCTGGTTGTGCATCAAACCAAATTCTCTTAGGTGAACATTATTTCATGAATGAGGTGCAAACTGACTGTTCTGCTGTTGTTTTACCTGGGGTGGGAAGGGAAGAAAGAGGTAAAGGGCTGGTAGCATCCTCCCTGCACATACCTCAGGGTTCAAGATGGCTCCCCTGTACCAACAACGTCCGTGAAGAAGAGACAGAAGGTTCTGCTATGACTGTGTCCCCACATCTGACAGTGGCAGACGTTGATGGACCACAGGCAGCACCATTTATTAGACAGTAGAGCAATCCTATTTTCTGGGCCTCCATCCTCCTGGAGCCGCCAGGCTTCCATGGTAGTTACTGACCTTTTGGTGTCCAAAACCAGATGGGATACCAAGATTTCTCTTAAAGGAAATGTTGTGACCATCAAATGCTGTTATAGTCATGGGACTAATCTAAGTCAAGATGGAGTCAAAAAAGAGTTGATGAGGCTGATTATAGCTCAGTAGAATGCAAAACTTCTCAGTGCCTATAAGAACAAGCTAGTGAAAAAATTGTCATAGATAGGAGAAAGTGGAAAACAGTTTAACCATTAATAATGACCTCTGACTAAGGAGAGGTGTAGGAAGTGTTGTTGCATGGACTCTTGATCAAAATAAAAAGCTCTTTAGAAGCTCTTCAGTTCTTTACTCTAACTGTACGTCAGGCTTTTACTGCAAGAGAGGATTGGTTTACCAGACAGAAGGAATGTTAAAAAAATGGATAAAAAAAGAGAGAGAAACAGTTAGTGAAGAAACCAGCAGCTGAGCAGAGGCTTAGTGTTAGGTTTCTTCACATGATTAAGTTTCCACAGTCTGAGGTATCCATCAATCATTATTAAACAAGATTCCACACAGAAAAAGGCTCTCTATGACAGAGGAAATCCTCCCCCCAGAAGTTGTGAAAACCTCAGAGAACTGAGTAAATGTATTAATTATATCTACCTTCATAGGAATGAAGTTCAAGATCAGAAGTCTGAAAGACCTAGCTACGTATGTTTTGAAAGCCTCTGGTAGACAGCTGGCTGTTAGGGATGGTTCCATAAATGCTGGGGATAGATCACTTGTTTGGCAACTGACTGGAAGAGCAGCACTATTTTTCTTGCCTCCAGAAACTTCATGGCAACTGCTGTCCCTGGATCTTGCTGAAGTAGTTTTAGTGTGACAAAAGATAACTGTTCTGCAAGTCTCCAAGGAGTAGCTCTTGCAGAGTTACAGCTTAAATTCCTCACTAGGACTTTTTTCACTGGCAACATTAAAAAAAAAAAAAAAAAAAGTCATTGTGGTTATTGCAGCTGTGAACAAAAAATTGTTCACATTTGAAAAGCTGTCTGAGAATAAATCCCTCAGCACTGCAACTATTGCAATGACTGCTGGAGGAGGAGAAAAACCAAACCAGGCAATCCAGAATAGTGTGGCTTGTTTTTAAGAAATTCTACCTCTGAAGAAACAGAGGAGTTGAAGGCTGGAGTTCGGCCACTTCTCATAGTGTCTATGGGTCTCTTTGTGGGTTGCTGAATCTGCAAAATAAAGTTGAGATTTAGAAGACACTAAGGAATGTAGCAGAGCTATTGAACCCAGGACGGGTGACTTTGTACTTTTAAAAGTGATTTCAGGTTGATCAAGGCATTCGGTATGACTTCCTTGGTACAGTAAGTACTTCCAGAAAATTCTCAGTCATAGGAAAGTCTGTAAAAATGCAACATGGGCAGCATAATAATAATAATAATACTATAAAAGCAATAATCATATGCATTTTGTTATTTTAATTATGGTTTTCTCAAATGTAAAATTGCATAAAATAAACTTGAGGGAATAGAACATAGAGCATGCTGTTAGTATCGTGTCAGAAAAACACAGGCTGCACTTGCTGTAGTTGCTTGGAAAATCTGTTTGGGGTGCAGAGCTGTGTGTGTCTTCACTCCAAATACAGCTGAAGCTAACAAATGATTGTGTTAATCTGATTATTCTTCTCTCCCTCCTTGCACCTACCAGCTTCTACACTTCCACACTTTATGTCATCAAGTGCCATGTCTACATATTTTTTAAAAAATACGGACATGGTTTAGTGGGTATGGTGGTGTTGGGTTGACAGTTGGACTTGATGATTTTAGAGGTCTTCTCCAACCTTAATGATTCTGTGATTCTATAATTCTACGATTCTATAATAGGCCACTTTCTACAGCCTAAAATGCCTGGCATTTCTACAGAGGCTCCTGTTGGAGGATGGCAGATAGGCTAAGATTGTTTTAGCAAGACCATTTTCCTTCGGCTCCTGGACCAGTCAATGGAGAGGAGTTCCTCAGGGGAGAGGTCCTAACTAGGAGTTGCTCTGCCTGATCCCCAGAGGAGGCTTTAGTGGTGATCCCTCCATTGCAGAAACCTTAACACAGGGAGATAGCAATGCAAGTCTTTCTGATTTCCAAGGCTGCCAGCCATTTACCAGCACTAAAGTTGCCTTAGTAAGCTGTGCAAGCCCTCGACAGAACCTCTAACGCCTTCTCTCCCATCTGCTTCTTGCAGACAGTGCTATTCTGGACGTGTGAAAAATACCCACGCACCAAGGATTGGCGCTGCTTCCGCGAAGCCTTTCTGAGGCTGGTGCAGAAGCTGCACAAGTGCGTAAGCCAGCACTTCCTCAAGCATTACTTTGTCAAGAACACCAACCTGCTCAAATATGCCAACACCAGTGACCTGGACCTGGTGGCCAGCAAGCTCACGGTCTTCCTGGAGAACCCTGTCTTCTGCCTGGACTAAGTCAGGAGAAGACCTCCTCAGCGATCCCCTGCCTCCTCTCCCCACCGGTGGTTGTTCTTCGTGTCCTTCCACTAGTTGTTGCAGCTGGCTTTGTAAGACAGTTGGCACATGCAGCGTGAAAGAGAAGTGTCAAGCTGGCAGCAGTGGGTGGTGAAAACTGATGGGAGGTATCGCTTGATGCCCAGCTGATCTAATTTGCTTTCAACAGTGACAGCCTGCCTGGAAGCTACAGCCAGTGAAACCCAACCTTCTGTGTCAGTCAAAGCAGGCAACTGCCTTGTTCTCTGCCTCTAGTCTGGTGGCACCTAAGCAGAAGGACGGTGCAGAGAAGTCTCACTCTGCTGCCTACCCGCTGTGTAACCTAGCACATGTATTGTTCCTGCCTCCCCTTTTCACACAAGGACAGTGGGTTTAATTCCCTGCCTACCTCACAGGCCAGCTCTACAGAAGAGCAGAGGAACATTTCTGATGTGTACTGAAGCTGTAAGCTTTCTTGGAGGCACTTTGATGCCTCCATCACCAATTCAATTGAATCCTGCTCCAGTATAAAGATAACCATGCTGCTAGGGTTGAACAGCTCAAGGGAAACATGAGGAAGAACGGTGTTTTTTTGCCTCCTCCTCATTTTTTTTCTCCTCCACTTCTATTTTTCTTCCAGTAGCTTCAAATATGTTTTATTTGGGTTTGGCTTTGCCAGTTGTGTTGGTGCCATACAACGAGGGGATTTCACCCCTGGTTCCATCCAGCAGGCTTGAGGAGGAGCAGGTCTTTCCCCAGTTTTAGCACCCATGTGTTTTTGGGCAGTGTACAGAAGAATATTTTTTCAAAGGCTGTTAGCTCCAAAACCCCCAGTGCATTTAATATTATGGATGTTTTAAAAGAAAATCAGTGTTAGTGTTCAAAAGAACGGAGTTCTAGAATGAGTATAAAGAATATTGGTTTAATTGTTATTAAATCATTGAAACTAAACCAAAGTGGGCTTTTTTTTTTTCTTACACCTGTGCAGGAAAGTAAATAAGTATCGCCTTTGCCAAGGGAGGTGGCAGAGAGAGGATCCGCAGCCCGTACTCTAGGGAGCTGCATCAGTGGATGGCCTGCAAGATGACCATCCATGGCAGAGCATCTCCCCCTTGTGTCAAATTGTGGTCTAACCGTGCATCTTTAGCACAGCCTCTGCTTTCTGGCTTGATTTTGTACGTGGGAGTGTGTTCACAAGTCCATGGGGCCTCATGGGATTCATCCCAGAGTTCTGAAAGAGCTAGCAGATGTTACCGCAGGACCCTTCTCGATCATCTACCAAAGGTCTTGGGAGTCTGGGGAGGTCTCTGCTGACTGGAAGCCAATGTTATTCCAATCTTCAAAAAAAGGTGTGAAGGAAAAACCCAGGAAACTACAGACCCATTAGTCTAACCTCAGTTACTGGAAAAATTATGGAGAAGATTATACTGAGTACTACTGAAAGGCATTTAAAGAACAAATAAATCATCAGGCATAGTCAACATGGGTTCACCAAGGGAAAGTCCTGTTTAACTAATTTGATGTCCTTCTACGATAAGGTTGTTTGCCCAGTGGATGAAGGGCAGGCAGTGGATGTAGTTTTTCTGGGGTTTAGTAAGGTTTTTGGTACTGTCCCTCACAGCATCCTTCTGGGGAAGCTGTCCAGCTGTGGGATGAGTGGGTTCACGGTGCACTGGGAGAAGGACAGAGCTGAAAGGGTTGTAGTGAATGGGGCTACATCTGGCTGGAGACCGGTCACCAGCAGCATCCCTCAGGGCTCAATTCTAGGGCCAGTTCTGTTCAATATATTTATCAATGATCCAGATGCAGGAGTTGAATGCACCATTAGCAATTTTCCTGATGATACCAAACTGGGATGTGCTGTTGACTCACTTGAGGCCTTACAGAGGGATCTAGATAATTGGAGCACTGGGCACTCACTAATGGGATTAAATTTAACAAGTTCAAATGCTGGATTCTGGACCTAGGACAGAGTAATACCAGACTCAAGTATAAACTGAGAGAGGAGTGGCTGGAGAGCAGCCCTGCAGAAAGCAGGCTCAGTAGAAGCCATCAACATGTCCAGGCAGCCCAGAGGGCAAGCTGCATCCCGGGGTGCATCAAACACAGCATCACCAGCCAGTCAAAAGAGGTGACTGTCCTGCTGTATTTGGCATTGGTGCAGCCTTGCATTGAGTGCCATGTACAGTTCTGGGCCCCACCACTTAAGAAGGATATGAAGGTCCTCAGAGGTCTCCAGAGGAGGGCAACAAAGTTGGTGAGAGGGCTGGAAGAAATGTCCTGTGGGGAGTGACTAAGGACTTTGGGCTTGTTTAGTTTGGAGAAAAGGAGTCTGAGGGGTGACCTAATAATTTTCTTTCAGCTTCCTGAGGAAGAGAGGCAGAGAGGGAGGAGCTGAGCTTTTCTCCCTAGGATCCAGCAATAGGATGAGTGGGAATGGTTCAAAGCTGTGCCACGGGAGGTTCAGACTGGATATTAGGAAGTGTTTCTTTACTGAGAGAGTGGTCAAACACCAGAACAGGCTTCCTAGAGAGGTGATCAGTGCTCCAAGCCTGTCAGTGTTTAAGAGGCATTTGGACAACACCCTTAACAACATGCTTTAACTTTAGGTCAGCTCTGAATTGGTCAAGAGTAGATGATCGTTGTAGGTCACTTACAACTGAAATAGTCTCCCTCTCCCTCTCCCTCTCCCTCTCCCTCCTCTCCTCTAGAAGGAGGCTTTTTTCCACAGTTAATTCTTTACCAGAGAAGATATTGGTCAGGTAGGATCCCAATTGCACGGCTCTCCCTCTCCCTCTCCCTCTCCCTCTCCCCCTTCCCCTCCCCCTCCAGAGAAGATATTGGTCAGGTAGGATCCCAATTGCACGGTCATTCTTGCACTGGTCTCCTGCATCAGATCCCATTGTGTGCAGACCTGACCCTGCCATTAAACTGGTGCTTTCTTTGCTCAGGACCTGGGAATACCCTCCAAGTTGCCTTTCCACGTGGGTAACCATGTTGTGTGGCACTGTTTTGACAGGTAAATTCTCTTCCTAAACCTTTTTATTCTGGGCTCGTTTCTAAATGGGGCACAAGTGGCATTTTTGTGATGACATCCCCCCACTGTTAAAGCATGGCTTTCCTGTTTCTAGCAAGCAGAGATGTTTTCATAAAAAGCAAAGAGATACCAATCTGCCAAGCAGAGTCAGGCAGATGTGACTATGAAGCAATGTCTCCTGTTGCATCTTGGTTTTGTCTTGTAGCTGAAGCACATGGGTCAGGGCAACCCCAAGCACAAATACAGGCTGGACAGAGAATGGATCAAGAGCAGCCCTGAGGAGAAGGACTTGGGGGCACTCGTGGATGAAAAGCTGGACATGAGCCAGCAATGTGCGCTCACAGCCCAGAAGGCCAACTGTGTCCTGGGCTGCATCCCCAGCAGCGTGGCCAGCAGGTCGAGGGAGGGGATTCTGCCCCTCTACTCTGCTCTGGTGAGACCCCACCTGCAGTGCTGTGTCCAGCTCTGGGGCCCCCAACGTAAGAAGGACATGGACCTACTGGAGTGAGTCCAGAG